AGCTGAAAGCAGGCAGGGCAAAGAGATGGATAGGAATGTTTTGTGTCCAGCCATGCTCCTTAGGTGGGCTGCAGTGGGGATCAGGCTGCTAGGGCAAGTCCATTCAGGTGGTCCTCACAAGGCAACTGCCTGTCTGCTCAGCAGGATTAGGGGAAATCTTTGGGCTTCAAAAAAAAAAAAAAACCAAAACAAAAAAAACCCAAAACAAAAAACAACAACCAAGGTGTTTCCTTGAACGTCACAATGAAGAGAAGGGCAATGTGGGAAGATAAGCATTGGGAGGCAGATAGAGATTAAGATGATGATGAGATGTTGTCTCACTGCACCAGCAGCGTATTTCCAAGACAATAACTCCTGCCTGCCTCTGGGCTGGTCCCTCCCCAGGTGCTTTGCTGTGCAGAAAGCCTGGTCCTAAACTGTGCTTCAGTTCTTCCAGTTTAGCCCTGTTTGACCAGCAGCGCTGCCTGTGGAGGGACATTAGGTTCAGAGTGTCTCCGTGCTCTGTCACTTAGCATTCCTGGAACTGGTTTCTGATCTTTTTGTTCTTGGTTGTGGGTTTTTGGGGGTTTTATTGTGGGTTTTTTGGTTGGCTTTTTTTTTCTTTTTAAGGAGCAAAGCAGAAAGGTTTCCAGCAAGTGTACTTCATGTCACTCTATTTGGCAAACAGTGTTGACTTCCTTCCTTATCCAACTGTGCAAAATTGAAAAGACAGTTGAAAAACAGATTGATTTTGGGTATTTTCCCTGAATCCAGTTTTTTAATGAAAAATTCTCTGGAAAAGAGGTTTATTGCTCAAAGCCTACTTAGAGCAAGAACCCTTTTGCATGCCACAACTGCTGGCATGTATTGCCTTTTTCACTTCCAAAACTAATCTTACTGTAGTTGTTTTCTTGGCAGAAAGATTCTTGGTACATGTATTTAAGAACCCCAGTTACCCCTTCAGAATGTCAGATGCAACTACTGTATTTCTTTGACCTAAACTGTATATCTTTATTTTGGAACCAGTTATGCCATGCTCAGGGAGAAGCCAAAATGTAGCCCTTCACCTACCTCTCACTTCAAGGGATAGTTCTGGAGGCTTGTGGGGAGAGGCAAGAGCAGCTGGTCACCACCTCATCTGAGCACACCTAGGGAAAGCAGAAATCCACCTGCAAAGCCCTAAGGATGCCCACATGAGCACATGAAGAAGCATGATGTGTCCACTTATTTTCATATTAACATCTCCTGTTCCCTTCCACACTCTGCTGCTTTCCAGATTTTTGCCCTCAAGGTACCTTCTTCGCTGCTAATGTTGATATAATTACAGCTAATTGGAAGAAGAGGAGGGAGAAGTGTGGGGTTTTCCACTGAAATAATGACATCTGTAGGGAGTGGGGTGGGAGGAATGAAAAAATGAAAAATGGATTTGTGGAGGTCTTCAATGAAAACCAGACAGGAAAAAAGTCAATTAACTGACATCTTAATTTTCCTGGAAAAAATCCCAGACCCTAAACATTTTTGGTATCAGCCTGTCCTCAGTCCATACATTACATTAGTAATTATCAGTGCTCCCAACCAGTCAAGACAGTTTTAATTAGCAGCTTGCCATCCCCAATGGGAATGATTATTTTCAGGATTTTTACTGATACAACTTAATTTCTGGATCTGCAGTGTAACAAAAAGGCCATTTTAATTTCTAATTCCAGAAAACGAGAAGTTGCCTTTTTTAGCCAAAGCTCACAGAATGTGTTGTAGTTTTTCAGAGTACTAGGCAGAAAAGTCTCATGTGAAGAGGAACAGGACATGTAATTTAAACAGCTTCATGATTTGAAAATTTTATTTCTATAAACCAATGTATAAGGATTTTTCATAAAGTATGTTATATTTTTAAATGGCTTCACACACCCTGGCTTTTCATTTTTCCCCTTTGAGAACAAAACATGGGGAAGGTGCCTGAGAGAGGACGTCAGTGGTGGTCTTCTGGTAATAGGTGACATGGTGCCTGTGTTCGTTAAATCATTCTCTTTCCTGGTGACTTGATGAAGCATCCATCTTTCTACTGTAAATAACCTCAGTTCCTCACTGATCATCCAAGGAAGCGATGGAAAAATTCATTCCATGCCATTTGCTTTGTGGAATAGCAGCTGAGTTATATGGAGTCCACCTTCATTTGACTGTTGTATGTGTTTTAAGTGTAAAAGTGCTCTGTGCTGGTCTCAGAAGCCTGCTCATACCATGAATTATGCAGAAGGTTTTCTGAACAGTTCGTGCCGTCCTAGGTGAGAGACACTCTGGTTTTGGGAACTACATTTGTATCGCATTTGTCTGTCTTCTCTGGCAGACCATGCCTGCAGTGCTGTAGAGTCTGCTGGTTTGCACCAGCTGGACAAGAACTGTAGAAGCCAAAAGCATCTTAGTGTAAGCAGGGTAACCTCAATGTGTCCCAGTGGGACTCAAGACTGAGAAGGGATAAAAATAATTGAAGGACATCCCCACCATATAGCTGCCTCTCTCCCCGCCCTTCCCCGTTAATATGAACACCAATATTTGATGTGAAGCTTGGAAGCACATTTCTTGTTAGAAAAGTTTTGCTCCACCCTCTTCGTCGTTACAGGAATTTGTTTACGTAAAGCGAAATGAACACACAAATACCTGTATTTATCTTTCTTGCACAAAGAACCAGTCTGCTAACTGTTGTTCCTCCTGGCTTTTGTGAACAAATAACATGAATTTTAGCTCTGATACTACCTGCCAGGAAAAGGTATCGCCAAAACTGGCGATTTGTGGTACCGTTGCTTGCTACAAATGTGGACCTTTTGGATCAAGTTTTCTTTCATATACATTTGGATATCATCAGCACTGTGGGTTTGGAAGTGAATGATGGGGTTACTGCGTAGCAGCTGCAGAGCAATTCTCCTAGGCAAATTCAAAGCCCTGCTGGAAATATTTCACTCTTAATGTTTCTCTTGCAAGTGAAATACTGTGTGTGCTACTAGCGGCATGTTACAGCATTTCCAGAATCTTTGGACACTTCAGGAAGTATGTGTTACAGTGGCAGTAGTATATTTCCTTTCTTCGATTTCATTTTGTTTTCCTAGCTCGAGTGAGTTCTTGTCAAACACATCTTTGAACCACAGACACCTACTTAGCTGTAGGTACTGCTGCCTAATTCTTCCCTCTGTCATACTTACTACTCTCTTGGGTGCACCTCATACTAATGTATACCTGTGAGCACTGCTGAATGTCAGCTGTTCTTTTGAGAGGTCTAGAAAGATTTGACATGGGGGTTTTAGGTATCAACAGTCAGGACCAGATGAAAGTTGAGAGGGACTGCTAGTGCACTGTACTGTTTTGCTCCTTCACACTGACTGCCATTTGTGTTGGATTGATTACAGATCTGTAATGCTGTACAGTATTGGCTCTGTGTGTGTGTGGGTTACAAAACAGAGGGAAATTCATCACAAGCGAGTTGTATTTCTCAGTGTCAAAATGATTTGTATTGATTTACTTTTGCAGATTCATCCCCGGAGAAGGGAGCCCATCGCTGACAGCCTATGACCTGGAGAAGTGGAGACCAAAGGCTGCAAGCTAGTCTTGCAATTTCATTATTCTTTCTTCTGGTTTTTTTTAGCCCCTAGCTCCTTATCTCTTCAGTGTTATTTATGCCTGGTGAAATCCCTGTGAGGACAATAGAAGAGCAGATCATACAGGCTAGTGATCCTCAGGATCCTGTTAAACTCTGCTGGGAAGCGTTATTGCCCTTTGTTGGGAAGATGCTGTTTGTGCCGCCTATGAGAATCTGTTACAAAGCCTTAGGAGAAAAGATGCAGCTATTGCTGGGCGTTCAGAGACAGTCACATCTGGTTTGAATTCAAGAGCTTATAAGCCCAATAGTATTGTGATCCTTTTTTTTTGTCTGAGAATTATAGCCTTTTTTATTTGATTCCAGGGAATGATTTGTCGATATACCATCTTGAATTCTGTACTCTCTTTCTGGGTTGTTTGGTAAAAAGGAAATCTGCTTCGCTGTTTTAACACATTTGTGTAATTGTAAGCAGGGTACTGCTGATGCCAGGCCAGGTAGAAGGTGCCTACTCCCCTTTTTGAGTCAAGGTCAGCTCTCCTTTTGTTTTGGCTCTAGAATTATATGAAAAATATAATCACAGATTTTTCTGTGTGTACTTATTTGTATCAGAAGAATTTTAGTTGAAATATTTAATGGGTTTAACTTCTCCGAAAAAAGTCTTTATATTTCCAAATGATTCTTGAAATGAATTTGAACATCGTTGTGTAATCTCTGACCTGAGAATAAAACCTGGCTTTTCAAACAAAATTGTATGAAGAACATGACATTTTTTTCAGAAAATCGTGGTGAATGGGTGTTCAGCAAACATTACTTGATAATCTACTTGCAGGACTGTCGCTTCCTTTCAGGCTTTTAAGAGGGCAGCTGTTGGGAGACAGGTACCCGAACCTGCTGTATCCCACCTGAAAGAAGGAACTGGGATTATTGCACCATAAGGCTGCATGAGATGTCCTGTGTGCTTTCCTTCCAGCTCAGGAGTGAGTTTGAGTTCCCACACAAACAGCTTTTTGAGTTGTAGAGAGTAATCGCTTGCGAGATTGCCTCCATGTGTCATTTCTGCTTTTAGAACAGGTATTTGCATTCCCATCAATATACAAAGGCCTGTGCATTAAAATAATAACCTTTCAGGATGAAACGTGTTCAGCATTTGATTTTGATCACAATGGGGAACAGTCCATGGGAAAGGATTTTTCTGCTGTTACATTTCACAGCAATGCTGCTTTTGCCTACCCTGGTCAAAGAAACAACGCTCTTAACGTATAATACGGACTCAGGAAGAGCAAGAGAAAAGCTCCAAGCAAACCATCCTTGGGAGAGAAATTGCTTTTTGTATCAGAAAATTAGAGTTTGACTGGAACATTAGCTACAGAATGAACTCCAGAGTTGCTGTTAGAGGAGTTTTTATCTCTGCGTGAATTTGGAGCTGGCCTACAGACACTATAGCAGCAGATAGTTTAATCAGCAAACATTATAACCGCGCAACTCCTGATTAGTGATTTAGCTAATAAGGGTGAGATCATGGAAAATGCTAATGTGGTGCCTTCGGAAAATCCAATTATAATGTAACCTAATTCAGTGTGAGCTCTCAGCAGGTGACCAGTGCTGTGGGCAGAGCACCCCGCACTCAAAGATGCCGTGAATCCTCAAAACAGACGAGCTTTTGTATGGTTGGGGTGGGAGGCAGCAAACCCCCTTTCATTCATTTCCACTGTTTCCCCCAACTAACCGCAGAGGTTTGCGCCTTCCATTTGTGGTGCTTAACTCGTCACCTGACAGCTTGTGCAAGCATTATCTGGCCCAAGCGGGTGGCTCAACGCGAGCCGTTCACAGTAGGAAAATAGAGTTCTCAGGACTGTCTTTTTTTTTCCTCTGTTTAGTCACAGGATTTAATGTTTGGCTGGCTTGGGCACAAGTCTGTAAACCTTGACTCACCCTGATCCTAATCCTGCTAAGTGCGGGGTATTCCTTCTATTTTATGACAGAGAATTTGTATCTTTTAAAATGCAGATAAAATGCCTGTACATTTGATTTTCCTCTTGATTTTCTCGTAGTGACACATGTTTCCCAAATGCAGGTGCTGTCATCCGTTTCAGTTAGCAGTGTCAGACTCAAACGCCCCCAGAGGATATGCCTTCTGCAGTGACCCAGACAAGCTAGCGGGGGTGAGTTATGTTTGTTAGTATCAACCACAATACTTGTAACTGGCATTTTTCCTTCCTTAAGCTTTGCTGAAACTGGGTATCAGCACAGACAGTTATTGCTGTGGCCTTTTAAGGAACCTTCTGGTATTTCCCACTCTTTATTAGATATTTTATTTTCCAAACACCTCCCAAATTTTCCATTTGATTATTTCTATTCAGCTTGCTCTGATCAGTGGTGAGCGGACCAGTTTCACAGTAAGGGCTAATGAGTTTGTGAAGAGCCTTTTCTTTTTTCCTTCCTTTTCTTGTAGGATCTGCCCAGGGTTTGAGAATATTGGAATTGCTGTGCACATTGCAAGGGGAGGAATATACAGAGACTTTTCTTTTCTTACTGGATCAGGCACTTATTTGAATACCTCAACCTGTCACAGCAGTAATGAGGTACACCCACAGTTTGTGCCCCCCGATTTCCTCTCTCACGGTGGCTTGGGGAAACTAGACAAGCATAAAGTAATTTTTGTGTTGAAACTTCTCAGCAGGTTAAGGGGTTGTTTTCACTTGTCTGGCAGAAAGACCAGTGTGTCCAGAATCGGTGCTGGCCAGTCTGCACACCAGGCGAGATCTATCAGGAGTGCTTGACTCATGTCCCTGTGCATCCCTGTTCTGAACTGAACTTTTTCCATTTGGTTGCAATGTTATACACTAGACATGTTGTGGAGAAATCTTCATTTCTATGAATGAGAGTAAGTCTTCATATGTAAAGTTAAATTATCTGCTCACAGTATTATTTTACATTGTTTTCAGCACAATATGCTGGATTCACTAAATGATGTTTTGATTACCATAACAGTAATTATACAGCATTAAAACAGGAGCACATTTGAACTGATGGAGTCGTTAGCACAAATGAGATACTTCAAAGCTTGGAGACTTTGGGGAATTTTTGTCCCATAATTTATTTATTTTTCTCTTTTTTTTTTTTTTTCCCCCTTGTGGAGCTAGGAGATGTGACACCAGCATTTTGCTGACCTTAGATTTTTTTGTTTGATTCACCACTATTTTACTTCACAGGTATTTTAAACTCTGTGCCTTGCCAAAAAATTGTCTTGTTTTTAAAATTGTCATCTTCTTCTGCAGTCCTGAAGTGCTATTGGTGACAGTCGTGGCAATGCTATTCTGTTCTTCTTCTATAGGTATGGCTTTCTACTCTTATACATAGGTAATGTTTGGCATGATACCAAGATTTCATTGGTGTTAAGTTTTCACTAAATGGAATCCTTCCTTAATCTCAGGCTGTCATTTGTTTTAGGAATGAAAAATTGTTACTTTGAAATTGTTGGTGAAATCCAGGAGCTGTTTTAATTACCTCAGAAACTCTGGATACAAGAGAAGGTGGATTCATGATAATGCTGTAGGCAAAGCACATGGGGTGCCCCAAATACAGACCCATGCTCTCCTGTAATAGGAAGGCTAGGTTTCAAAGCTGAGGATGCTTTGACAGATTAAAAGCAAAAGCCTGGATCACATTACTTTCCTCCTTGAGTCTATTCACTATTTTTTTATCTTCTACTGTACTGATAGTAAATTTCTTGTCCAAATAGTAAACCATCTCTTATTCATCTCCCATATAACATTTCACTCTCTTGGGCTCACCCAGTTTCTTATCTTTCCTCTTGCCTTCCAGAGCATAGCTTTTGGATCCTGTATAAAACGATGTTGCTATTGCAGAGTCTTCAACTTCTGCCTGTCAGAAATACCTCTGTGTTTCTTCAAATCTCTCCTGTAATCCCACTTCCCCATTTCTTCTCTGTATGGTTGATTTCTAAACCTTATTTACTTGTAACGGCCTTTCAAATTCTGGCATACCAGTTTTGTTTGTCTTTTAATAATACCGAGGAGAAGGTCATGGCTTTGTTTTCTAGAGCCACTGGCAAGGAATGCCATCCTACAATCCCACAAGAGGGATTAATGTGTTACCCACTGCAGTGCAAAGTGTTGCATTTGTTATATGCAGTGTCATGAATTACAGTAAGAACACATCATCAATGAAAATATTTTCTTCTGAGATGAAATGAATTACATAAATAGTGGAACTAGAAATGCATGGTGAATGCTGTGCCTGAAAGAATGAACTGTATCCTTTGGGTCTGGTACCCCACACTCCAAGTCTTGCACTTCATTAGTTCCATGTCATACTTCCAGTCTCCTACCAGTCATTGCTCTGTCTGCATTTCCCTTTCCATGACAACATGTTTTGGAGGAATTAGGACTATGAGATGCCCAAAATTTCTGGTCCCCATCCTCCTCTCCCTTTCTGTCTAGAACAGAATGAGAAAAAAATGGTATCGTATGACGATACTTCTTGGCCAAGCAAGCTCAGCTACTCCAGCTCCCCCTATCTGTTCCCCCTATAATAGCCTGGGAACACAGCCATACCCTACTGAGCTGGAAATTCTGCCTTGCCCATGCCGCCCTGTGCTGAGCTTAAAGAGTTTTTCTAATGAGGTTGAAGTTCTCTCTCTTGTTTTAAAATAAATAAATAAAACCCAACCAAACCAACAATCCTCAAGTTTTTAAAGAAGTTTCTGTATTTTAACTTTGTTGTGACAATGACAGAAGAATTTCTCTGATTTTTGCAGATGCAAGTTTAAAGGTCTGCGAGACACCACAGGGTGGAAAGTATTTTTTTGATTAATAAAACACTTTCCCACCAGGAGCCAGGATGCTGGCTAACGCTGTGTTTTCACTTATGGCCTTGCTTCCACCTGCCCTATAAACGGGGAACACCCAGGTGCTTCCTGTTTGAGGGAGAGCAAAGGGT